GGGAGAGGGAGAAGCAGGCTTCCTGCAGAGCAGGGAGCCCGATGCGGGGCTCGATCCCAGGACCCTGGGATCATGACCCAAGCCAAAGGCAGACGCTTAATGACTGAGCCACCCAGGCCCACCCCCCCACCCCCACCCCATCGTCCTTCTAGCTTTCAGAGTCCTTTTATCATTGTTTTTAAACTTCCAAGGTTTTTAGTTGTACTTAGAGGAGAAGGAAACTGTGATTCTACACCATCTTGTTCTGAAACCACAAGCCTGCCTTTTAAAGGAAGCAAAAATTTGAGACTATATTCAGAGGGCAGGACAAAAAAGAGAGTAAGAAATTGCCCCACATCAGCTCCCCCAGATAAATGCTGCTTATTGATTCCGACCTGGATTACTCAAGATTGGGCTTTGTGCTTGTGCTGGTGTGTTGTCATTAAATAAATCACTGAGGGCTCTCACTTCCGTCTGCATAATTCCTGTGACTGGTGGCAACAGTGATGTGACCCTGGGTAAGTGGATGTACAATTGCGAAAGGCTACACGTCTTTACGTACGTATTGAAACATACAAGTGTAAATGCACAATTAGCTGATGTTCATCATCGCTGAGCACTGCCTGAAGGATGGATGGTTGTAACTTTCTTAAATCCCCCCTCTTGCAGAGAGTGGGACGGATGGCAGAGGAGCTTACAAATTGCTGGATCAAGGATGGCAAACAATTAATTCACCTGCTCATTCTGCTCAATTGATACTGGGCACTTTGTCCTGAGATATCCAAAAGCCATGCCTAGATTCAGTAGGAGTGTCATGTTCAATGAGTCCTGCATGGTCGGTGGCAGCTGATATGCCCCACCCATGGAACATCCCCGATCTAGAAAAGTCCTCCAGAGCTCACATGCTTTTTGCAGACACAGAGCCTACCTGAGTTTGAAGGCCCATGGGGGAAAAAAAGCTGTATTTGAGAGGTATGTAATAAAGAGATTTCTCAGTGTAGAGGCCCAGAGTGATGGACTTTTGCCAAGATTTTGCCCAGGGGCTCAGAACATGTATAGTTTTAGCTGGAATGGGACCTGGCGTGGCATTTACATATGTGCCACTGATATCTATGTGTAAACAAGTGCATGGTCTGTTTTTTTTTTTTTAAACAAGACTTTTCTGCTTTTTACAAACAGTATAAACTCTTTACAAATGACCTCTGTCTCTGGGGCCCTACCCACTCCACTCTTGTAGACGAACAGCAGGTAACAGCTTATCTCAGGGTCAGGGAAGTTACTTGGACGGAAAGTGAGGAAGACATCCCATTTTCAGGACCTGCTTCATAATATACATGAAGAGAATTATTACCATTTTTTCTGACAATTGCATAAAAACATCACAAAGCCAAAAATGCCTGTTGAGTAAAATGATAAAGGGGAAAAAAAAGCCATCTGGCGTTCAACCCCTCTGTTCGTACACTGGAGGAAAAACCACCCAGATGGGACTTTGCTAAGAGTTGGTTAGTGTCTCTCAAGAGTCATTGTGACTTACTTGTTTTCGGCCTCAGACCTGACTTTAGATCCTGGCTGTCCCATATAATACTCACTACGTTGTACGTGTCCTTCACACACTTCCACGGGGCAGTTGTCTTCCCCACCCTGCTGCTATGTGGGAGAACTCAAGACTCATTTCCCTTGTTTAGAATTTGTGCTTGGTCAGTGCAAAGAAGTCCTTAACCTTTTGCTAGAAAGACCTGAAGAATGTGATCCTGGCAGATGGACGTATCAGGTTAGTGAGCTAGAAAGTTGCAAAGGTGGCTTTGTGTGAGAAGGCAAAATGAAAATTTTCTAAACGGGCAGCAAATCTTCCCCCTGGTACTTTGCCCTGAACCTGGCCCCCTTTTCCTCTCACGAGGGAAAGAGCTTGGCATGTGTAAGTAGCCTCTCTGCAGTCTCAGAAGTTACAGCCACATTGCATTTTATTGTAATTTCCGAGCTATGGTGAGAGGAGCGAGAGGGACAAGTGATGGAAGGCAACAAAGCAAAGCCAGGGCTCAAGGTTAGGAGTCTGAGGGGATTTAGAAAGGGGACAAGCAGCCTTACATTCCTCCAGAGTCCCTGAAAACACTACTGTATCATACAATAGCGCAGAAATTCACGATGATGGTGAAGTGTGCCTTAGTCTTCAAAAAAAAGTCTGCGTGTGCTCACTATTTAAGAAGGCAGAGAACCAAGTTTTCTGCCAAGCAAACACAATCGCAAAGGTTAAAACTAACATTTTAGTGCTTGAGGACAGGGGAGCTTCAGTTGCATGGAAAATCTCAGTGGGTAAGGACAACTCCATTTCCAACAAAGCTGAATAAATGAAGCATCGCTCCGTTTATAATCTCTGCAAATCGGTACTGTGTAAATTTCCCACCCCCACCCCCAAAAGGCAGTGGCTATCTAACTTCGGTGCAAAGAATCAGGGTCGACTTGCCTGTGATACTTGAGTGAATGAAATATGCTATTTTGTGATACGCCCCCTTTCAATTCACGTTCTCTGCTCCAAAGGGGTGCAGTGAAAAACAACAGACAAAAACCCAGTAACGGACGAGACTTCACACATATATTCTTGACAATGGAGTTTATGGAAAATTCTGCTCCTCTCCACAGTTGAGATTCCTTGACGGTAGCATGGGGGAGGCTGGACGAGGTGGTCTTCCAGGTCCCCTCCAACCCGGATGTTCTAGGATTATAGTTACCTGACCCAACTAATAGGCACCCAGTGAATGTCCTTGCTCAGCTTCTCCAAGAGCACTCTGAGCTGGCTGTGGGCACTCTGGAGGTCCTCCTTCACCAGCACGCTGTCCACCAGATGCCCGTAGTGCTGGTCTATGAAGGCAGCAGAGGCGGCCATCTCCTGCTGCTCCTCGTCCTGCAGGGAAAGGGGCAGCTGGGGAGCCACTGGGTTGTTCTCCCTCAAAATAAGAAACTTCCAGCCTTTTTCTCGGGCAGTGTTCTAATGTCTAATTTTGAGTGGGTGACTTGGGCCCATGAATAATAACCCATGGGGTACACAAGAACAGAATGTGGTGATAACACCCAATCACACGTCCGAAAATGTTGCCCAGAAGTAGACACAATCCTTGTTCGTCTTCTCAAAATATCTACTGTTAGATATTAGGACCTGTTAACCTCAGCCATGACACAGGCTTTGGGCGGATGCCAATTCTATTATCTGTATGTACATATAATATGTCAATATCACACTTCCGGTGGAAGGTATTTCCAAGGAAGGGGTACCATTGTGTTGTGTGTCGATTTGGTTAAGTAATTACAGCAAAGAACTGCAAATACTATTAACTATAAGCAAAGCAAGCATTTCTGGAAACAATGAGGGGGAAAAGAAGGAGAATAAGTAACCCTAAGGCTCTCTGAATTCAGACTCCTAAATTCATCACGTAGAACTTAATTCTTCTTGCCATTTCCTCATGCCAGAGCCCAACACGAGCACCATAGCTAGAGTAGAGTTCTTTCCGAAAGCTCTAGGACAATCCTGACCAAACACCCCATTTCCCTGGGGTCCCCGACTTCCTTCATCAGACTGCTTTCCCGCCCCCTAACCCTGAGGGACAGGTAGCCCGCGTCCCTCCTTTGCCCAGCCTGCGTAGGGTTTGTTTCTTCATTCAAAAACACCTTGAAAAAGCAGAACCTCGAGCCGGTAGTTGACTGATGGTTAGCTTGATTTGGGGGAAAAAGGCACGTGGCAGGTCACCTCTAAGTAACGTCGCAAAATGAAATTCGTCTCTGGCATTCACCCACTCCCTTTCTATCTCTAGCCAGGCCTCTGCCGCCTTCTCTCTTGTGCTTACAGAGACTCAGTGCTTTTAGAGCGTGGGGTGAGCTGCCCTCCCCCAAAGAGACCCACATTCCAAAATATTCCCTCCTCCTCCTCCTCCTCCTCCTCCTCCTCTTCTCTCTGTTGCCCATCAGCCCCAGATCCCGACTTTAGTGAGAGCACCTGCAGCATCTGAAGATAGGTTCTAAAGGACTCGGAAAGAGTTGGGCATGCTGCCACAAAGACGGTAGAGACTGAAGAGAAGGCTGAGGTCATTTCTTCTCCTTACTTTCTCCCAGGAGGAGAAAAAGTAGATGACATCAGGAGAACCTTCCTAAATCCATACTCTCTCTCGCAGGGCTCCTCTCATACTCAAAAGCACTCTGCAGTGTCTGATGCTGCCCCTGGATCTTCAATCCCACCTCCCCTGTCTCCTGCTTCTGGAGTTTTCCCCTCCTCCAGGCACCCTCATTGTTCAGCTTGGAAGCATATAGCTATTTAAGGAACTACAGAAGGAACATTTTCACCACTAAGTACCTCAATCTTTCTAATATTTGCATCTTGAAGGAACTCAAGTAAATCTCTCATGGAGTAAAAAGTATGGCATTTGTTTTGTGGCCCAAAATCCCCTGAACCAGGGGCGCCTGGGTGGCTCAGTGGGTTAAGCGTCCAACTCTTGATCTCAGCTCAGGTCTTGATCTCAGGGTCGTTGAGTTCAAGCCCCCTGTTGGAGCCTACTTAAAAAAAGGCGGGGGTAGGGAGATCTCCAGAACCCTTTTCCTGGCCTATAAAGGTGGAATTCAACCCCCTGTGCTCAGGGAGAGAGTCACTGTCCTGAACAACCCATAGGAAAGACTCCCACCATGCTGTCCATTGCCCCATGTTTGATCCACTTGCTGGATCCGAAGTTGGTGTTTCAATTAAAAACAACTTGGGTTTGGCCTGGGAATTGAACAGGTTAGTGTGATCAAGTCTTTGACAGATGTCCCTTATTTTCTGGGAGGATCCTTCTGTGAAGGAGTGAAGGGTGGGGAGCCCAGGCAGAGCCATCCCTGCCTGAAGCGGGAGGAACTTTCAGCTGCCCCACCTTGGGCTTTCCGGTCACCTGACCATCTAAGTCTGGCCAATAGGCAAATGGAAAGACAGCTCCATGCAGAAAGTACATGCACCCTTACACAGTTGTAACAGGCCCTTTTAGGCCTTCAGAAATGATCAATTTTAAACTTACAAGTGGGGCTGCTGTGTCCTCACAGGCTGGGGACATGGGCGGCATCTTCCTCTTTTCCTGAATCGCAGGCTTTACAAATATAATGTAGGGCTTGAACTCTGAGGTCCTCAGTTGTTGCAGTGCCTAAGAAAGTTCAAAAACAGGACACATTTTATTATGAAACACTTTTTGAATGCTCCATAACAGTGTGCTTTATCACATAACCTCAGTGGCAAAGGTCCTGATCACATGGTCCTATGACAATGGACTTCAACTGGGCAGACCAGCTGCTCATTTTCCCATCCTCCACTTTGACACTGGACTTGGCTGGGCCCCAAAGGCCCACTTGCTGAGAATGAACGTTCCAAAGCCCTGGTTCCAAGTGTTGCCATCTCTCTCAGCTCTGACCCCACAAGCTCTAATTAACCTTCTCATGCCCTTCTCCACCTGCCCGGTCCTGACAGAAGATTCAATGTGCATCTCTTAGTCAAACGTCGTCAATTTGGACCACACTAATTCAAAATATGTGTTATCACACAGGCCTCCTTATGATATTCAGAGAAGAAAAGATTTGCTAAGCAAATGAAGAAGCTAAGAAATCATTTGAAACAAATTGTAAAGACATTAGAAGGTTTTCAATATGCAAATCATCCTCTTCATTAGCACCTATGACCGATAACGTAAGGGCCTCATTTGGAACACTGTATTAAACTGTTACATATACAATCTGCACCCCCCCCAAAATCAATAAAATCACTTTTCAAATAAAATTTTGCAAATTTAGACTTTTAATTTTGATGACCAACCCCCAGCAAGTCCAAATGAGAGAGGGTTTTCCTTCAGAGACATAATGTGCTTTCTGGAATCTGTCTCAAGC